TTGATTCTCCAATTTTTCCCAACACGTTCTGAGTAGCTCAAAGATTGCAAGTTTGTTACACATGAAATTACAACTCCCTAGTATCATACAAATGCAAATAAAACTTCAAAAAAACTTGCCACGTTGTTGCAAACTCATCTCAAATGCAGGTCACCAAACTTGAACTTTGCCTAGAAACAATACACACACACACAGAGTGAAAGGAGAGAGGGGAGATGGAGGGAGAGCAGTTGAATAGCACGGCTCACTAACAGAATCGTTTCTCATTATTTTTACCGTTTACAGTCTTAGGATGTTATGTATAATTTTCCATGAAGTAGAACATAATTCATGGAAGAACAATTATGTACAAGTACCTCTTCATTACGGCTCCTTTTGTAGATTACGAACTTTGAAATAGGTTCACTACAAGATTCACTTAATAATTATAGAGACAGGCGGATAAGATTTTCAAGTGTTCAGTCAACAGTGATTATTTTTACCTTACAACATATGAATCGGAAATTGGTTTTCAATATTAATTAAAATAACATAATATAAAATTAAATTGATGATAAAAGTTTCGAGATAATCTGGTGGAAATAATGCTAGTTTATTATCACCATAATCTCATAGAAAGACCATTGAACTAAAAATTCACAAATATAAAACGAAATTTACCTGCCATGAACAGAAGTCAAATCAATCTTTGGTAAATTGCCCAAGCCTTGGGTAACTTTAACATTATCCACATTCACGCTTGCAGACGCCATTGCCACACTTGAATATCTGTAGGAAAAAAAAAGCTCAGAATTAATGATTGTTGGGGAAGTTCAATTGTGGGATGTGTGAATAATTGGATGTTTATTTACCGGTTGACTCGGCGAGGTTTAGCTGAGGAAGGTACGGGCGAGAAAGACGATATGAGTGACGTTGCCACCATCTTGATGAGACTGATTCTGTGTATTTCTTTTGGAGAGAATAAATGATCTAAAACTGTTGGTGCTGTTATGCTTTGCAAGAAATTCGGATATTCTTGATTGTTAGCGAATTTCTTGAGAACGACATTTTTCTCAAGATTGAAATGAAAAATATACAGTTAAATTTTACAGATAAAGTCACTAAAGTTATTAACAGTTTGCAATTGATCATTCATTAAAAAAAATTAGGGAGGAGTTGTTAAAAAGCCTAGTCAAACAATGATTTTGGTTAAAAAACCCCATCTCAATGTTTCTTGTCCAAATGGCCTTCAATTATAAAAAAGAATAAATAAACAATATCAAATATCCAAATGCCCCTCACCATGGAAAATACCCAAACACCCATTTGAATCCAATTAAATTGCTCAATCAACCTTTCCTTTCCTTTACAATCTTCCGATAAAAAAAAAAATCTTCAATCCGTCTCCAAAACACGTTGACGTCTCCATGTGGTTGCTACCTAAAATCTTATTATTTATTCTATTCATCGCCTTTCTTCTCCAATATTTTGAGCA